TACTGCTACTGCAACAGCAACAACAATCACCACGACCTCTACTTCTACTATGATGGCCAGAAGGCACAGAGCACCCAAACCGAATTGGGTTTAGGGTTTAGGGTTTTAGGGTTTAGGGTTTAGGGAAGTTGCACTCTATCGCCTCTGCATGCATGCAGAACCTGAGGTCATGTGCCAGGCAGCGGAAGTTGTCAGGGTACTTCTCCTTGTAGACTTTGTGCTCCTGAGCTAAGGGGTCGGGGTATATTTAAGATTCGAGAGAATCGGCCGGTAAGAGGTGTGAAGAACTAGCGTAACTAAACCTTAAGCCCAAATCCCTACACCCCAAAAATACTGGGTCAAGCACTCTAGCATTGGCAATATCAACTGGTTCGACAGTTACGTCGTTTCGTGATGTTAGATTTCACTACCTTCAAGATTTGAACATATAGTACCCTAAACTTCCCCTTGTAGTATTACAGCACCCTTGTGGTACCCTTGAAGTACCTTCATGGTACCCTGTAAAACCCCAACAGCAGAAGGCTCCTGCTAGATGCGCTAAACCCTGAACCCGATTCAGGAGTAAGGATTATGAGCGGGAGCCTAATGTGTTGTACACGGTGCCTACTGCGCTACCCCTGAAACCCAAAAACGAGTACTCCGAATATCTTGGTTAACAGGATCTTGGGATCTTGGAAGGTGAGTTCCGACTAAACCCTAAACCTTAAGCGCTAAACCCTAAACCCTAAATTTAATTAATGCCTAAGTCCTCACCCAAGTCTCCAGAGTTTAGCGTAGGCGGCCCTAAAAAAGTGGATCCCCAAACCCCAAAACCTCTAGTGACGACTCTAGCGGTTTTGAAAGTTTAGGCCGCTGGGGTTTGGGGGCTAGGGTTCTGGCAAACCTTATTGCTTGCAGCAGCGGTCGAACGTCGACATGGATCTATAATCAAGCTTCCACAACCCTAAGGGTCCATGTACCCAAATAGTAGGACATTGGCCCTAAAGTACTCATATAGGGACTACATTAAGGCCAATGTTCTACAATTTGGGTACATGGACCCTGAGGGCAACCTCTCTTTTTGGCAGGGCTTCCGACCAGTCGCGACATCCCCACTCGAAAGGACAGTTTTGTGGCTTCACGCCGACCTGAGCTCCCAACTTGTAACCTAAACCCTAAACCCTAAACCCTAAACCCTAAAAACCCAAAAAAACCCTATAACCCCTAAACCCTAAACCCTAAATTTGCTAAACACTCCCCCAAGACGGATACATCGAGGCGTCTTCCCCAAATCCTGCACCTGCTCAAGCTTGCCCAAGCCTACCAGCCTCCATACAAATCTCAGACCGACTTCACCATGTTGGTTTAGGGTTTAGGGTTTAGGGTTTAGGGGGATTTTGTATTTCATCGCCCCTTTTCCACCCCGACAGTGTTTGGGGCTTAGTAAAGCTTAGATAGGGTAAATCTAAACCATCCACTCCAATCGCTGTTTTAAGCAGTACGGTCCCTATACAGAACCTCACAAGCCCGGTAAAGCCCGGAACAGAACCTTTAAAGGAACCCATTATAGAGCCCGTAAAGGAACCCCCTAAAGCCCTAAACTTAAAACCCCTAAACCAAAAACCCTAGACCCTAAACCCTCAAGCCCTGAAGCCCTAAAGCCTCAAGCCCTCAAGCCCTAAACCCTAAAGCCCTAAACCCTCAACCCCTTAAAGATCTCCCAAAGTAACCCCTTAAAAGGAAACCTTAACTGACTACTCTACTACTAGGAAAAGGACCCTTTAAAGTCCAAGTATGAAGGCAGCGCGCATCGTCGTAGAGCAGCGACTTGGAGTAAGGCACCCCTGGGCCGATCCCATGCACTACAGGTTTCGGTTTAGGGTTTAGGGCTTAGGGTTTAGGGCTTTAGGGGTTTAGGGGTTTAGGGTTTAGGGTTTGGGGTTTAGGGTTTAGGGTTTAGGGTTTAGGGTTTCTGAGTACCCTAGCCCAAAAAAAGGTTAACCTTTTGAATTATAGTAGGATCATATAAGCCCCAAAAGGTTAAAGGTTGCCTACTCAGCCAAAGAAGGGTTTAGGCTTTAGATGGCTTTAGGGTTTAGGGTTTAGGGGTTCAAGGGTTTAGGCTTTAGATGGGTTTAGGGTTTAGGGTTTAGGGGTTCAAGGGTGTAGGCTTTAGATGGTTTTGGGGTTTAGGGTTTAGGGCTTAGGGGTTCAAGGGTTTAGGCTTTAGATGGCTTTGGGGTTTAGGGTTTAGGGGTTCAAGGGTTTAGGCTTTAGATGGGTTTAGGGTCTAGGGGTTTAGGGGTTTAGGGCGTTTAGGGTTTAGGGCTCATAGTCATTATCGGCTTGGGGGTGTAGTGTAGCATAGGTGCCCTAAGCTTGAAATATATACAAAAACATGTAGATACTATAAGGGTTCAGCATTACTTGTCAAGCGGCGGGAATGCGTGCTAAACTGCCAAACCTTGATGGATGGGCGCGCTTCGGTTAAGGGCTCCTTGAACTGACGGTTGTGCTCTTGAGTTTAAGTTTAGGCTTTAGGGTTTGGAGCTGCATGGATTATCAAGGTCTGAGTAGGGCTTTTATGGTGGTTGTTTTCTAAACGGGTCCCTGTTAAGGTCCTGCTTGTAAGGATGCCGTACTGTCTTGGGGACCTGAAAGGGGACCCTAATTTAAAGAACTACCCATGTGAAAGGACGTAACTAGAGCGCAGCGGACAAGCTAGGTCCAGCTAGGCTAGGAGTCGGGACCTACCCATAGGCCCCATAGTAGTTCCTTTTCGGGATTACCTACTAGGATTCTAGATATGAACCCCAAAGAGGAACTACTATGTGGCCTATGGGTAGAGAGTGAGCATCTTTAAAGTGGGCGCCTCTTTGTGTGGCTCCTGCTTTCGCGAAAAAACAATCCCTAAACCCTAAACCCTCATTAAATCCAAAACCCGAATCAAACCTAAACCCTAAACCCCGATGGCTTTGGACACGAGTGAACTCTGATTCGACCTGAGCCCTCCAACCCGGACACACAAAACCCGAAACCTGATTGACACTGAACCCGTGAAAGTTTCAACTTGCTGCCAAGAGGTTGAAGCATGAACTCTAAACCTGAGCCTCAGATCCTAAACCCTGAACATTGAAATATGAACTCTAAGCCTAAGCCTCAGATCCTAAACCCCATGAACCTTCACCAAGGCACCCATGAATAGCCAGGCCAAGCCCTTGAACTGGCGGCTGCCCTCGGCATCGAGGGCGGAAGTGGGTCTTCGAGACACTCCCAAAGAGCCCAATACCCCTTAGGGGCTTAATATGATGGTTTAAGGTAGATTCCTTAATTAAGGGGTGTTGGGCTCTCTGGGATGAGAATTGAGGGGTTTTAGGTGGATTCCATAACTAAGGGGTCTTGGGCTCTCTGGGATGAGAATTGAGGGTCGGCGTATTGAATGCAGCACAAAGGTCAAACTTTCCGACGAAGCTTTACGAGTGACAGAGTTGCATTGCATGTATATATAGAGTGCAGATGAATAAGGGATTGTTATCATTGCTAGCCTGCTGGACATTCAATTGCTTGTGCTCGGTGCGGGGGCATAGGCGCAGGCTCTGCTGTACGTATGTCTTTTCTTTGTGTATGCACGTTCACACACTCTAAGTCTGCAAATACTTTCCATGCTTGGGCATGCACGGCCGTGCAGCATTTTATAAGAGCCCTTAGGGCCTTAGGGGGTAAGGGGGAGGGGGTGCGGGGCCTCTATACCCCGAAGAGGGACCTGACAAGGGTCTAATCAGGCCGATTCAAGGAAGCATAGTCCCCAACCCCCTAACCCTAAACCCTAAACCCTAAACCCTAAACCCTAAACCCTAAACCCTAAACCCTAAACCCTAAGCTTACCTCCCTGACCTTCCCTGTGAATATTGCTTCAGGAAACATCCCCTGAACGCACCATAGAGGCATAATGTAGGGGCCTTAATGGTGCAGTCCAAGCAATGGGTTTAGGGTTTAGGGTTTAGGGTTTATTGTTGGAGAAGCAAACAAGGAACCGAAGACTTGCCAAACACAGCTCCGCACGATGTACGAGGAGCTGGGAGCCATCCACAGCCCATCCGACCTCCTGGCGTATCAAGACATCGCCCATGCTACCGTCCAAAAACTGCCCGCAGAACTTCAGGATGTCGCCCAAACGCAGACGGCTGATGTCTTTATTCGTCCGGATAAGGGCGTGTTGTTGGGGGAAAAGGGCAAGCTTCGGGTTGAGGGTGTGCCCGGATAGGGGGCCGTCCCGCCTTGTTGTTCTTGGCTTGCAACCACCGCGTGGGAAAAAATGCCGTCCGCTTGCCCACCCCTCCTGTCTCCTTGAAAAACTGGTGCGGCAGGGTCAACAAACAGCCGGACAGCTGCCGCGGAACGTTCGCACCAGGAAGCTTGCAAACTTGGGAGGTAAGATGGTGATTTCGTCACTTCGCATTGCATCTATCTCGCTCGTGCCCGCGCGGCACAGGTGGCCGCTCCTGTCCATGTGGCAAAGTTTGCCTTGGGCAGCGGCTTCAGCTTCACGAACTTACCAGAGACACCCGGCTTATTATACTATAGTGATAATAAGGAACGCACCAAAATACTATAGGTAATTATCTAGGCCATCTAGGCTTCTATATTAAGCCCCGAACCCTAAACCCTTGCTGTTCCGCATTTGACATTTGCAGTCTGCTTCGGCGGTCTGGGCTCTGACAACCTCCAACACGCTCCTAGGGTTTGGGGTTCAAGCCCCCAGGATTTACATGTAGAGCAACACAACCCTGCGCAGTGGTAGAGAACGATCCGGTCAGTCTAAATCTAGCGACTGTCGGTCCACATCCTAGAGTCTAAGACCCCAAGACATGACCCTCAAGAGGCAGCGTTTAAACCCCAAACCCAAACTCCTCAACCCTAAACCCTGACCTCAAAGGCCAAGACATGAGCCTCTGTCGGCCCATATCCTCTACGAACCCCTAAACCCCCAAACCTTGAACCCCTAAACCCTAAGCATCCCTAAGCATCCCTAAACATCCCTAAACCCCTAAAACCCTAAACATCCCTAAACCCCTAAAACCCTAAACATCCCTGAACCCCTAAAACCCTAAACATCCCTAAACCCCTAAAACCCTAAACATCCCTGAACCCTAAAACCCTAAACATCCCAAAACCCCAAAACCGCCTAAACATCCCTAAACCCCTGAAAAACCTAAACATCCCTAAACCCCTCAACCCCTCAACCCCTAAAGCCCTAAACATCCCTAAACCCCTAAACATCCCTAAACATCCCTAAACCCTAAACATCCCTAAACATCCCTAAACCCTAAACATCCCTAAACCCTAAACATCCCTAAACATCCCTAACCCCTAACCCCCAAAACCCCAAACCCTAAAGGCCTAAA